GAAATCAAGAATTCCCTATTGTACAGGAGAGGTGCATCGTGTTTCTTCCACCTCACCTAAAAATACGGCAAGAAGAACAGGTAAGACACATGTTTTGTCTCGTGGGTATGGACAGCATTCAGTTGAATGGCCTTACACTAACAACAACATGACCACCAAACCTCGTAGATTTTTTGATCTCAAAGCGCGCATCTCGATTGGCATAGACGGTAGCCTCCTTGTAATCCTCCCATTCCTTTCTAATTCGTTGAGCAGTCTTTTCGTTTTGGACCATTATATCAACTTCTTTACGTCGCGCTGCGGCTTCTCTCTCCTTCGCCTCGAGAGCTACATAAAACCGGCTTTAAAACAGCTGAATAAAAACTTATGTGTTTCATTTCCTAAAAATACCTTCCTTTAGACGACGTCGCTCCCCATCGAGTTGAGCATGCCTTTCAGCAGCGGCAATCTTAGCTTTGATTTTTGCATCATATTGATTCTATTGCATTAGTTGAGAGAGCGGCTTACCTTAAGTTTCGGATCCTGGAGAATGTCGTAATACTCCTTAAGTTTCTGAAATTTTTCCTCTGAAAAATATGGTTAAGCCCATAGACATACTTGCTTGTGGGTCGCTTTTGTTTTTGTCAGGATGAAGCTCCTTTGCCTTATTTTTGTATGCTCTCTTTATCTCTTTTGCAGAACTCTCGAAAGAGATCCCAAGATACTCATAAATGTCAACCTGAATTATGTCAGCCATGGAGGTTTCAAACAACCTACAAACTTATAGCCAATGGTGTTGTAGAACGTTGAACGTGGTAGTTGAGTGATTATCTAACCCCTTGCGTCAATTCATCTGAGATCATAGTACATGCGATCGAATAGATAAAAATTAATAAAATATTTTTTCGCACGTTTTCGTACAATGGTTTTGCTTTTTTACGGTTTTGTGTAAGCCTAAACTTTTTTGACGTAATATAATGTAAAAGTATTTAAATTAATTTAGTAGTACATTTTTTTAACTTTTTGTCTGCAGCTGTTAGCGTTATGGAAAATGACTTCTTATTCCCTATTTATTGCTTTGAAGCATCTATCCCACGGCAGACTATTTAAACGCGTTCTTCCTAGCATCTTAGATTGGTTATTTGCAGTCTCGAGCTCTTGAAATGGATGACTCTGTTAATGATTGTCTTTCTAGTATGCAAGAACGGCTTTTTGGCTTTTATAAGGAGGGCAAGTTGACCGATATTACATGGGCTGTTGGCGCAGAGGGTTGTGAAACGGAATACATTAGTGCACATTCATCAGTTTGTGCTTTATCTGGACGTCTTAAGGAGCTGATGTTGGCTCACTCAAATGATCAGCTCAAGAGTTGCATTAGAGTTCCTCCGTCTCTCACATTAATCCCCTCTGACTTTCGATGTGTGCTACACTTAGCTTATACAGGAACCTTTGCCGAAGGCCATTCATTTGAACAGTGTTTGCGATTATGTGAATTGTTTGAAATGCCACTTGGGATCGATGCTTGTTTGAGTGGATTGAAAAACCTCCTAACTGAGTTGCTGATTCGGCCTAGCATTGATAGTGAAACTCAAAACGGCTTGAGAGACTTCTTTATTAACTCTATCAATGATTCAAAGATGAAATCTGTGCACCCAATTATTCTGAATTTCTTTAGAATGCATCCCCTTATTTTTGATAGTAAGTTAATTCCCTGTAAGTTGTGCATTTAGGAAATCAACTATTAAATCATTTACCGGTCTTCGAATTTTTACTCTGTTGACTACGTCTTGGTTTCAGCCATTGCTAATAGCTCTCTTTTCATAGCCGAACCATGTCTTTCGAAAGTGCCCGTTGAATGGGTCATAGAACTCCTTAAGAAGGGTAAGCTTTGGATGCAACATCCAGATGGATTTGTTTACTTTGGTGGAAAGTACATGAGCGAGGCTGCCCAGGTACGGTTACTGTCCCTTTTTCAAACTTCCAAACAAGTTCGTTGAGCGTCTCTGCACGGCCCATAACATGGAACCCCTGGAAGTGCAGATCGCCAGGACTCGTTCAATGCTTGGTATGTCACTCGATTTCCTTCTAATATCACGGTTCTAGCTCCTCTGCGCGTTTCAACTTTCGTATCGCCCCCCTTCGGCTATCATAGTACATACGCCTACGGCTACAAGTGAGTCGATGCTTGATGACTAAAGTCTATTAAAAGCTACTCTGAACTTGAAGGGAGACATAGGACTCATGATAATTATCCACCAAACGAATGGAAGATCGCAGCACTCACTGGCTACATAACGAGAAACTGGGACGGCCGACAAGTACTAGCTGGTACTCAGGTCTAGTCACTTATCTCTTTTTGCAGGACTTGATATCACCTACCGGAACTTCGAGACGGGAAATGAGGAGGTCGTGGAATGGGAACACCAGAACGAAGAGCACTACACGGTGTAAGCAACCACTCCTCATTACATAAACCGTTTCCATGCGTAGGCAGACAGTGTTTGTCCCCGAAGACGACGTTATAATCGGTTTTGAGATAAACTGCGGGTGGCTGATTGATCGCGTAACCTTTACGACCCGTAAAGGCGTGCGCCTCAACCAATTGGGCACCTCTGACGGTGGAAATAGAACGGTCTTCGACGGCTCCAGCCTTGCGCGAGTAAATGCGGGTGAATGGAGTGACGACGAACAGACCGAGAGGAGCGACCGCGACGATGTGATTGTATCACTACACGGGATTTCATACAAGGAGATATTGTCTCGTAGGCAGCTTCTGTGGAACAAAGTCGTATTCCACTTTGCCAGCATAGATAGATCGCTCGTAGAAACTTTAAACCCGGAACACGGACCAATCATGCACCAGATACTGAAGGACAAACAATTCCTTCTCTAGTACTGTAGCAGACCACGTACCACACAGTTTTGTACCTTTCTCTGTCTATTTCACACTAATGCAGTGTTCTTACCCATATTATGTATGAAAAATAAAAGGACTTATTATGCGTTCTCGCATCCAGTCAAGCTTCACACCTGATTCGCAGTCCAGACGCCCTACCTCACAGGGGTGTCACTGCCAATCTCCCACCGTCATCTAGATTTAGTTATGGCTGAGAATCGTGTGTACCAGTCGCAAGCACGGTGAACAGATAAACCCTCAAGTAATGTCAAAGAGGAGGGGCGTGGCTACCGTCATAATTTATTTGATAGATCCTAGTTCTTCTTGGCTTTCTTAGTCGGTGAAACTTGCTTCCGCTTGTTGGCCTGCAGAATCGCACTAGCTTTTCGGAGGGCAAGCTAAATCACATGCAGATACACGTATAATCTTACCATTTTCAGTTCTCGGCGGTATTTCGTGCGGCATACGAAGTTGCGTATATTTTGTAACGTCCGTCTGTTGCCGCGAACAAACTTTATCCTTACAAGAGCCTTTGAAGGCTTGTAATCGAGTCCAGTCCTCTTCGTGATAAAATAAACGCCCTTCCCGCCCTTCATTTGCTTGATGCCAATCGCTTTTTTATGAACCATGCCATTGTACTTGAAACAGTTTTTGCCCTTCATGTTCAGTGGGTCACGACTGAATTGTTCACCATTGCGTTTCATGAGAAAGCAATGCGTATTCTTGATGAGCATCCACTGGAGGTGGGAAGACATTACTAAACGAACACGAAGCGTGAGTAACACGGACAGAGGGTGAAGCAACTCCCAATAAGTAGCTTAAAACAATGAGTAAATGCGTCGTTTTACAAAGAATGCTCTGAAACTAGAAGTATAGCTTTAAAGCCATTCTATATATGTCATTTTTTAATGTCGTAATTTTGCCTCCAACCAGGACTGTGCAAAGATTTGACTTTATGGAGTGTAATTGGCATATACCAATGCGTTTCCTGCATTACTCTGCGCTTTTCACGTGCTCTTATGATAATGCTCTAATAACTATTATTTTGGCCAATTATGTAATGCTTTTTTTAAAGAGACTATATGGATGCCTATCACATAATGGCAGCCATCGTATTTCTACGAAATTGTTTGAGCTTATGCAAATTCGAATGCGCTAAAGCTTTCCTTAATTTTTGATAATGAGTTCTAAATTAATTTCTAGACCTTACTTCCTGAGACATCCCACTAATTTGATGGAGACATGCAGTTGAACTGCATGC